AATGTTATCAGACAACGAAAACGAAAAAGAAGATTCAAACACCTCAGAAGAATCAGAACCAGAAAGTGAGGAAGATCCAACAAAACACCAAATAAAATCAGCGATGAAAACGCTCTTTGCTGCATTTGGGCCAAAACTGAAAATTACTAAAAAGATGCCGAAAAAGCGAGCGAGCAAGCCAATGCCTCAAGACCTGCCCGCTCCCATCCTGACTACTAGAGCGCTGACGCCAGAACCCAGAGAGCCCTGCCGATACCGCCCTACGCCGCAGACCGAAGCAAGCACCAACGCTCTCAATAGAAGAGGAAGAACAGCCACCGTCGTCAGAACCCCCAAAGTCGAACCAGAGACCGACTCGTCTGAAGAAGAGCAGAGCGAGCAAGCCGCAATGAGGAGAACCTTCCACGACGATGCCGAAGAAGAAATGAGCAACGCGCATGCGCGAAACTACGCTGATGATCCGGGAAGACATGAACTGGAGAGAAGATCATGCAGACTCGTAGCGAGCATCCCCACGCCGTTTTGCAATTTTCTGCATTTACGAGACCACGGACTACCTCAGGTTGTAAGTAATGGACCCAATAATGTCGGAAATTTACCCAGTGACTTCCCAAAACTAAGGGTTGATGGCATTAATTTACAAGAATGGTATCAACAGCTCCAGGTTGTCTTTATGAAGGAAAACTTACTGTTTTTTATCACTAGTCCCCCAAAAAGACCTTGGACACTAAAAATAGATTGTTTACACCATAGAGCTTTTTTCTTAATGATATCTAGTGTGTCTCCTGCAATGTATCACAGCATTAAGCCAAATTTGACTGTTTCAGAAATTATTCAATGCATGTTTAATTTGTTTCACAGTGACAGTGTAGCTACCACCACAAGGATATCTAAAGACTTCTTTTCATCTAGGATAAAACCAGGGGTTTCCATAAGTGAACATTTAATATCTTTGAACAAAATGAGAGCTGAACTGCATTTGAGGGGGGAGGTGATTTCAGACCAAACAATGAAAAGTGTTATTATCAACTCACTTGATCCATCATGGGACAATTTTATGTCACACTTAGACACAATCAATCTAGGATATTTATCCATAGAAAGTCTATCTAACAAATTGATAACAGAAGATAATTCTAGAAGTAATCGTTCTAACAATCACACAGAACATAAACCATATAGGAAAGTAGCTTTCCAAGAAAAATATAGTGGAACATTTAAATGTCATAATTGTGGATCCAGGGAACACAATAGAAGAGATTGCCCAAAATTCTTAAAAGAAAGATATAGATCAGAATACAGAAACAAATACGATTATAGACAGCCTTCCATAGAAAGGCATAGATATAGGAGCCCACCAAATCACAGAGAGAATAGAGGGGGCAGAGACAATTCAAAGGATAGAAAGTCTGGTTCACTGAATGGATTAAATAAACAAGACAACACTAACACACAACAAAGTGAGAACAATAATTGGCTTATTGATTCTGGAGCAACTAATCACACCACTAATAACAAAAGTATATTGTCTTCATTTGCAGAAGATAAATTTGTAATTAAGGTAGCTAACCAAGAAAAGGTTCAAGTATTAGGCAGAGGAAATGTAACCTTGCCTGGTCTAGGAAAAATAGAGGGGGTATTACTAATACCTGAAATACCTCATAACATATTAAGTGCCATAAAACTAAGCAGAGATTCTGACATTAACATTGTCTTTTCAAAAGGAAAGGCAACTTTGGAAAAGAATAAAATAAATGTAGGCACTGTGGTGACTAAAGGAGGCCTACCTTATCTGATAACAAAAGAAAAATGGTTACATAACATTGATTCAAATATGGAAGATTGTATTGAAATAGATGATGAGAATGTTAGCAACAGTGACAATGATGAATGTAAAATATCTCATGATCACACAGATGCACACAACGATAAGAAGCCAAAGATAGGTAAACCAATTCATGATGAGTGTGCTCACATATTGCATAGGAAGTTAGGACATGCCAGTTTTCCTGTAGTGCAAAAAATGACTGAACACGCAGAAGGTGTTAAAATAAAAAATTGTGAAAATTATCTGGAATGCTCAGTATGTAAATCTACAAAACTAAAAACTAGTCCCAGGCCAAGAAAATCTACCAGATCAACTAACAAAATTTTTGATTTAGTGCACATGGACTTAGTTGGTCCATTAACTCCATCAATCACTTATAGAAAACGTTACTTCCTGACAATAGTGGACGATTATAGCCGCTATGGATTTGTTTATACATTAAAACACAAAGATGAAACATTTCAAAAATTTAAAGAATTTTACAAACGCATAGAAACACAACACAACATCAAAATAAAACAAATTATGACAGACAGAGGATGCGAATTCATGTCTAAAGAATTCTCACAATGGTTAAAAGACAAAGGAATGTTACATTACACATCTAGTCCATTTTCTGCGTTCCAAAACGGGATTGCAGAGAGAAAAAATTCCACATTACAAACCATGATTAGATGCACATTGGAAGATGCTGGCTTAAGCAAACAATTCTGGTCAGAAGCCTTACATTATTCAAATTACACACAAAATAGAACATGGTCCAGCATTGTAAATAAGACACCATATGAAGTGATGTATAATAGAAAACCAAAATTAGCACACATGCATATATTTGGAGTCACAGCAGACGTACACATACCTAAACAATTAAGAAGAAAGGGAGAAAATGTGTCCAGAAGACTCAGATTTATGGGATATGAGACTGGCACTAAAGGATACAGATTCATTGATAGTAACAACAAATTTATAGTCTCCAGAACAGCTGTGTTCCATGAACAAGCTAACTGGTCTAAATTACATCTTAATGAGATATTCCCAAATAAACATGAAGATACAAAACCTCATGAGAAAGGGACTATAGAAAAGCAAAATATCAACAAATATAAAAACAAAACCAAAACTTGGACAAATAGCCAACACAAAATAAAGACAGACACACTAACAAAAAAGGAAGCAAGATATTTGCATGATAACGATAGTAAACCCGAAAAAATCATTAGAAACACCAGAAATCAAATGCCAAATAAATACAAGGATTATGTAATGCACATGGATGGTGAACCAACAACACCCAATACATACGAGGAAGTGTTAAAACTTCCTCACGAAGAAAAAGAAAAATGGGAATTAGCAATGAAGAAAGAGATGGAAAGTTTACAAAGATTAAATGTATTTACACCTGCAATTGCACCTAAAGATAAGACAATTATTGGTACCAGGTGGATATATAAAATTAAGAATTTAGAGGGAGGAAATACTCTATACAAAGCTAGATTAGTTGCACAGGGTTATGCACAGAAATATCCGGAGGACTATACTGACACGTATTCCCCCACTGTAAGAACAGAGAGTGTCAAAACAGCTCTAGTGGTAGCATCAGCACTCAATCTTGATGTATTCCAATATGACATACAGACTGCGTACCTACACGCAAAATTAGATAAAGAAATATACGTGAGAGCACCTCATAGTCAATACACAAACAGAAATGAGACTTGGTTGTTAAACAAGAGTTTATATGGGCTAAAACAATCTGGTAAACGGTGGTATGATTGTTTAGTAAAAGTACTTAAGACCATGGACTTCAACGCTACCACTGCTGATAATTGTTTCTTTGTCAAGAGGGGTGATGATTACATTGAATTTGTATTGATTTATGTGGATGACATTTTATACATAGGAAAACATAAAGAAAGAAGAGAAACTTTTGTAACTAAACTAAATGAGCATTTCTCATTGAAATCTTTAGGCAAGGTAAACAAATACCTTGGTGTCCAAATTAATAAGACAAAAAGGGGATTCAAACTTACCCAGAGAGATAAGATCATAGAACTTTTAAATAAATGCAACTTAAACAATGCCAAACCTTGTGATACCCCTATGCAAACTGACTTTCTAAGAAATTCTGATGAATCTTCTCCCGAGTTCAAGGACAATACATTCTATAGATCAATCATAGGTTCACTCCTTTACATATCTAATTGGACTAGACCAGATATCGCTTTACCACTCAATTTATTATCTAGGCATGTCAGCAAACCAACAATGTATCACTGGGAAGCTGTTAAAAGAATTTTAAGATATCTAAAAAGTACACTAGACTTTTGTTTAATGTTAGAGCCTAATGATATTAAAGAACCAAAGCTTACGTGTTATGCAGATGCAGATTGGGCTGGAGACACCTCATGCAGAAAAAGTACATCTGGTTATGTATTTCTCTTAAATGACTGTCCAGTTTACTGGTACACTGGTAAACAAGAACTAGTGGCCACTTCAACGACAGAAGCGGAATATGTTTGTTTATCCAAAGCCGCAAATAACCTTGTATGGTTTAATGATTTAATTTCAGATGTCTGGAAAAAACCTGCTCTGCCCTTTGTTATGCATGAAGACAATAAAGCAGCCATTGAAATATCTAGATCTGATGCCATTGGACAAAGGTCCAGACATATAGATATAAAATTTAAACATGTGAGACAATTATCTCAGGATGGATTTATTAAAGCAGTGCATTGTGACACTTCAGAACAATTAGCTGATATATTGACAAAGCCTTTACCTTCTAAGCAGCATAAATATTTAACCTCTAAGTTGTATGTTTTGTATTGTCCTGAATCTGAGTGTAACTGGTGTTGTATAACGAATCGGCATTTAGAGGGGGATTTGTCAGATGTAAATGCCTTATTCTCTAATGTGTAAATAGTGTACAAACAGGGTATCAGGGGTTAACTTATTCTTCACTTCTTAATGTATTCATAATTCACCACTCCCACATATAGCTCCACCCATTGTATATATAAGGAGCTACCTACACCCTTTCCCTCGCTTCTATCTGTGAATATTCAGTGAATATAGAATGCCTAATGTAAATAAAAGAATATATAGTTAAATCTTTAACTCTTGCTAATCTTATTGAGTCTGATCCTGAAAATATTGCAACAAAAATTTTATAATGGATGATGAGAAACCCACTGCCACCACTAATTCTGACATCAGCAATGATGAAGCTCCCAATGAAATTGATGTCCAGGTACAATCTACATCGTGCAATAATTTATGTGGCAAGAAAAAATTCAAATGGTCTTCTGCACCTTTTGGAAGCAATAGATCCAGAACTGCTAGTCACAATATTGTTGTGCAATTACTTGGACTACGGCTGGCAGCTAGAAATCACGGAAATTCACCTACTCCCCTAGAGATTTGGAAATTATTATTTTCTAAAGAAATGATTAGCGCCATCATTCAGTGGACCAATGTAAAAATTAGAGAAGAAAGATTGAAGTTCAAGGATGGAGAAACAAAAAGTGACCCGCGCGATGTGGATTAGATAGAGATCAATTCATTTTTTTGCTTTACTGCTCTATACATCAATTTTTAGATCCAACCATGAAAACATTGAATGTCTTTTTGCTACAGAGGTCATTATGACCTCATGTCTGTAATAGCATAGCTGAAATAATACGTTTGTGGTTAAGGGTTAACATCTCCAAAGAAGGAAGGTAGTAAGTATCACATTTGCTTGAAAAATATATGGCTAAGGTCTATGAAATTGGGGAAAATTCTAGGACTTGAATGATTTTCTGTGAACTTCCATAGCAACCTGTTATTATAGGTGAATAATGAATCAGTTAATCTTTCTACACAAATTTTGTAATTCCTGTAAAATGACATTTCTTTATATTCCAGACACATAGTATGTCTATCTTATGAAGTCGAATTGGCTGACTGAGGAAACGAGTCCTGCAAATAATCTGGAAAGTCTACTGGGAGCAATGGTATGTTTAGAATGAATGAATAAAATAAAGCTGGAAGGGACCTTGGAGATCTTCTAATCCAGCCCCTTGCTCAAACAGGAGACCATATACCATTTCAGACAAGTGGCTGTCCAATCTTCTCGCCATGTACATGTTTTTCTCACCATGTACACGTATAAGAGCTGAGATGGTGCAGTGGTTAGAGCGTAGTACTGCAGGCTACTTGTGCTGACTGACTGCTGACTGCAATTTGGCAGTTTGAATCTCACCAGGCTCAAGGTTGACTCAGGCTTCCATCCTTCCAAGGTCAGTAAAATGAGGACCCAGATTGTTGGGGGCAAGATGCAGACTCTGTAAACCGTAGAGAGAGCTGTAAAGCACTATGAAGTGGTATATAAGTCTAAGTGCTAAGTGCTATTGCTATACATCCAAACTACACTGTGTTGTTTCTCTGTGTCATATATGTGGATATATGCATAATTTTGTGTTTGTTTGGTCAGGTTTATGTACTGTATATTGGAGGTTGTGATCCTTTGAAAACTGTATGCAACAAAATTTCCTTTTAATGTATGCTGATTAGTGTACATTTAAAGTGACAATAAAGTTATAAAAGTTAGTTAATGTTAAGTTCTTCTTAAAAACCTCCAGTGATGAAGCACCCATGATTTCCGAAGGCAAGTTGTTCTGCTAGTTGAATGTTCTCACTGTTAGAAAGTGCCTCCTTAATTCCAGGTTGCTTCTCTCCTTGATTTGTTTCTATCCATTGCTTCTTGTCCTGCCATCAGGTGCTTTGGAGAATAGCTTGACCCCCTCTTCTTTGTAGCAGCCCCTCAAGTACTGGAATACTGCTATCATGTCATCCCTAGTTCCTCTTTTCTGTAGACTAGCCAAACCCAAATCCTGCAACTGTTTTTCATATGTTTTAGTCTCCAGGCCTTTGATCATCTTAGTTGCTCTCCTCTGAACGTTTTCCAAAGTCTCAACATCTTTTTTGTAGTGTGGTGCCAAAAATTGGTTGACGGGTGTCAAATTTGCCATGTCACGTTGCTGCCAGGGGGCAAATCATTAGGTTTTTTCCATTCACAGAGCTGGAGGGGCAGGGCCTGCATGTGACATATCTGGCCCAGTTTGACACCTCTGTTCTGGATGAACCCACTTTCACAGGGACTAATCTTTTCTTTGATGTCACCCACCTTCCTGAGTAGAGATGGTCCTTTCCGGACAAGGAATGCAGTCGTGGCAGCAAACTGGCTCTCCTTCTCGAGACCGCTTGACAAATCCAGGATGACAATTTTCCACACATTTGGACTGAGGCAGAGACTAAGCATAAAATTAAAAAGTGCCAAAGAAAACATATTAGGATAAACATAAACATAAACTTTAGCCAGGTAGCCTCTGGGCTTTATTTAGATAAATAGGATATCTGTAACTATTTCTAAACTGTTGAAAGACAAATACTGAAAATTCCATTCCCCTTTCATAGTAATCCAAAACCAACTCCCAGTTAAGATACAAACAAAACATTCCTTACAAATTAGGACTGTCCATTTTAAAGGAGATCTTTGTTTTTTTGTATATTTCTTTGTTAATTTTTGAATGTTAATTTTTAGTCTTGAAATAAGACTAAAAGCTCCGTCTTAAAACTACAGTGAGATAAGGAGATGAAGTCATGAGAATGTGTCCCTCAAACAGGATAAATCAGCCATCTTTTGCTGTAGCACATGGGACATGAGCATGAGACAGGAAATATTTCCAAGGCCCAATTGAGAAATAAGTCCAATTAGAAATAGGTCCAAGAAAAAGCATTCCCTGTTAAAAAAAATAAATAAATACAATCGCCAACTGGTGTGGAAAGACAGACCTACATTTATTAGTAGTTTAATTTGGATCCTCCTTTTTTTTTTCCAGAGAGACTTGAGGCAGCTAACAAGCAAGATAAATAATAATAATAATAATAATAATAATAATAATAATAATAATAATAATAATAATAATAATAATAATAATAATAATTTTATTTCTATACCGCCCTTCTCCCGAAGGACTCAGGGCGGTGTACAGCCAATTTAAAAACACAGAACACAACAATGATCAAAAATTAAAATAATTAAATAAATTTGGCCGATTTAAAACCCCAAAAATTAAAATACCCCAATTTAAAATTATTATATTGATAGCCCTGCCTGGCGGAACAACAGGGTCTTCAGTGCGCAGCGAAACACCCGGAGGTCGGAGATCTTACGTATTTCCGGGGGCAGTTCATTCCACAGGGCTGGGGCTCCCACAGAGAAGGCCCTCCCCCTGGGTGTCGCCAGCCGACATAACTTGGCTGATGGCACCATGAGGAGACCCTCTCTGTGGGAACGGACTGGTCGGTGGGAGGCTATTGGTGGCAGAAGACGGTCTCGAAGGTACCCGGGTCCTCTGCCATGGAGCGCTTTAAAGGTGGTAAAGGTGGCATTCTAGAGGTTTTGATATGAAATATCCTCTTATAAGCCAAAGGCCAAATCTAAATGGCATTTCCTTTCAAACTATATCTCATTACTTGAGATATCAGGAAGAGCTTTTCTTTGAGTCAAAGCAATGTTTCAGTTCTTTACATCAGACCAATCATTATGATTCCTCATGAACTGAAATCATGGACCTCCTTCCTAGGAGCACAACACCTATTGCACTATCCCAGTGGGGTGAGAGATTGGAATGGATAATTCTGGCCAATTCTGGGTTGCTTAAAAACATCTTGATGTGCCCTTTCATGGACACTGACCTGAATAAGGACAAGATAAATCCTGATTTCAAATCCTATTTCCCACTGTGACCAAAAGGACTTCAATTCACTCTTGATTCACTTTCATTGGATTCGGTCCAAATCTGAACTTTGACCTGGGTCAACAAAATTGCCTTTTTCTTTGCTCTTTCAGAACAAGGAACAAGTAAACCTGAGGCTATCAGCACCACAATCCCTAGTACCTCAGCGCCTCGCTTTCTTTTTTCGTGTGGCTTTTACGTTTCAACCCTAAACCATGGTGCAATGGCTTACCACAGTTGAAATGGGCTTTGTAAAATAGAGAAAAGAGACCGATGTTTCTCCCACCTTGTTGAGGAACTTTAGCCAAGACAGAGTAGCTGAGTTTATGATAAGTCTTTGTCTTTCAAAAATCCCCAGTTCCTTTGGGATTAGTTCCTCCTTGGGAAAAACCACCGAGTTTATGATGACCAGATCAGCTGCTAAATCTCCATTTTGGTCAAAGTACAGTTGCATCCTGGAAATATTCCAATATTCATTCCTCTGCAGAAAGGGATGAAACTAGAATAGAAATGCAGGAATTTTAAAAGCAATAGACTGGGATCTATTGAACTGGGATTCCTGCAGAGAAGGGGTTGCGCTACTTGGTGTCAGAGTCACATTCATAATCATAGAGGCAAATTCTGCAATCTTAATCACAAACCCATAGATACAGGAATTTATTTAAAAGTTCATATATCCTTTTTTTAAATTAAAAAATAGCAATTTTTACTAAATCTGAGATATTTCCCACTCTTGTGAATATTATCTCCTGAGCGATTAGATTTGCTAAACTTGTTACCCTCTTGTAGCACAAGTAGGTTGAGATGCTTCCCCTCAGAGCTGGTCTCCAAAAATTTTAGCAAGGGGTTCTCTGCTTGGTTGCTGGGTGGATGTGGCCATAGTGGCGTGGCCTAGTCGGCCCCTGTACCACAGTGGGGGTTGTTTTTGTCCTCCCCAGGCTCCCCAAGGTGAAAACGGCCTCCTCAGGCTGCGGAGGCCCTCAGGAGGCCAGAAACGGGCCCATTTCCGGCCTTCCCAATCTTCCGGTAGGCCTGTTTTCCCAAGCCTTAGCATGCACCCTGCACTTACCTGCATCCAAAACGGGCCGTGTGGGGACTCCTGAGAGGGAAGGGGTGGGATGGGTGGGGCCAGGCAGGAGTGGGATTTGGGGGTTCTCAGAACTACATAGAATCTTAGCTAGATTTTCTCCCAAACCCCTATGAACCCCCAGAAACCCATCCCTACTTCCCCTCATTCACCTTTGAAATAAGCTGCATGGATCCTTGTAAGGACCCCCTACCTGCCACGGCTGCAGCCTTGGAGCCCATAGCACCTCTTTGCCTTCTGTCCTCTTCCTCCTGGATCTGGAGGAATATGCAGCATTCAAGGCAAGGGCCAGAGTCTTAATAATACCATAATAATGGTGGACATTTTGGATTTTGTTTCTGTTTCTTTTCTCTTGGGTCTCCAGTGGTGCTTTCTCAGTGC